GTTCTGGCCCTCGTCATCATCTTCGGTTCTTTATTTTGCAGCACCTCAAATGTTATCGCATCAGGAAATTGCGTTTTACTTGTATTCCAAAGCGCAACTAGGAGGACTTGGCAAAGTGCCAAGAGAGCCGCACGCGACACGCGCGCACACGACGGCTGTTAGCATGAACGGGAGTCTGCGCCGCAAAAGGCATTGGGCGGAGCATGGAGGAATTAGCGTGTTTCACGGTCCTGTATCTCCATTCCTGCGCATGTTAGGACGGGAAACCGCTACGCTTCGACAGCTGGGGGCTGATAGTCACGCACACCCAAACTATGTGTGATCGTACCATGTGTCTTTACGTAGGTGTGAAAGATAGCGGTCCTCTGAGCGCACTGTTCATCTACTTGAGAAGAATGACGGTATCCCAGGAATGGCGACGGGAGCCAACTACCTTATTTTGAAAACCGCTCGAGAGGTAATTTCCAAGACGAGTTACTCGATGACAAACTGGCCCTAGCACCATTTGCGGCAGTGTCCTCATGAACGAGTGCCCTTTTTTTCAAAGTTAGGTCAAAATCTCAAATTTAGCCGAACGTTTGCCACCAGGCCCTGAATACAAGCACAGCATTAGTTGGGCGGGAAAACGCTTGTAGGTGCGCTACGCAGCCGGCACGCCCAAGCATTCCGTGAGGAAACAGTGTGTTCAAAGGTCTCGCGAACAGCTTGAACAGACCTACGCTGACTGCCTAAACTGAACAAAAGTTGTGATGTTCAAAGCCCTTTTAGTCGCTCCTGTGGGACGCAAAATATGTCCAACAAGGATCCAATCTCACAGCGTCCTGCTTGTGAAACGCAGCTGCCATCGGCTCTTCCATGGTGCCATGAACCACTCTCACACCCTGTGAATAATGGCGCAACCAATGTGATGGCACAACGAGCCAGCTTAAAGGAAAAGTTTCTATCTATACTTACATCTGAGCGAGTAATAAACTTGGTGTCAACCAGTTTGCTGACTTTTACTTTCGTTTAATTTTATACCAACAGTATCGCTCCACATATTTCAAAGGCAGATATGAACAGAGCTCCTGAAGACGCGCACAAATTCAAATTTTTTTTCTGAAGTTCAAGAACAAGAGAGCAAGAACACATGTTGGGAAGATTACTATGAAAAAAACTCTTTAGGTATACGTCTTACGTTACGAAACGTCGTGGTATTTCATTAGCGCTGCTTACATGGACGTGCTGTGTTATATTTGTCGCTGGCGCGTGGTATTTCGAGTGCTTCAAGTAAGTAGTATTAACCATGAGTCTTGAATATGTGTAGGGCAGAACCAGAGAACCTCTGTGTGTACTCATTTAGTGCTGACACAAGAAGCCAACTGAGCACTATTTTGATCCCTCTCGAGTTCATAGGTAGAAACCTCAAGCCTCACGATATAAAACTGGAGTGTGAGCACTAGAATATTCTATTGTTCAATTTATACTGTGCTCTGCACAGATTTATGGTTTCGGGGGGTTCAGATCAAAGGTATAATGTCTAAGGCGTGTAAAGATTTCCTGTGATTAATCGATGTATTCCATTTTTTGAGAATCTTCTAAGTAGTAAAACTACAGAGTTGTCGTTTCCGATTTGTATCATTTGTACGTTTTTGGAGAGGACTTCCATTTGACACAAATTTCACCCCGACTCGTGCTGAACAATGAAACGATTTTTGATTATTTCAAAGCAAAAATGTCCCACCGGAAGCCCAGCTGTTGCCTACCGTCAAGTGAAGTGTAATGCCCACTATAATTCTTCGGAAAAAGTGCTGATCCGCGTTTTTTTCGTTTTCCTTTTGTAATAACACGGTTTCTCATCATTTGATGTTTGTTATCACTATCCTAATTTCTCCAGAAATTTAAGATACTACCTGAAAGTCACCTTCGCATGATATCACTTCTTTCATTCGGAAAGTGTCAAGCATTCGGAACTCTGACCACAAAGCCATTGAAACGCTGAAAATCTGTCGCGGCTTTAGGCGCTATCACGGAAACGAACATCAGTCAATACGGATCTGATGATATTATAATGAACAAAACTTCCAAAGTTTTCTACGGAATTTCAAAATCAAAGAAAGGCTTTTCTAGAGGTAGCGATAAATGGATCTTCTGCAGAATCGTACAGAGGAGATCACCATGTTGGCCGATGAAATTGGAAACATTGATCACTGCCCTCCCTTGGCCACCTTCGTGGGATATTTATGGCTGATAACGTCGCAATCAGTCGGGGCGGTACCAGGACGGGCGGAATGAGTCCGCCTCCGGTTGTCCTGTTCTACCAATAGTGATCGGTTAGTGGCGATGATCTAGGAGGAAAACAACCAGTAGTGGAACCCTCGGTCAAACTCACTCCATTCGTCTTGGATTTGCCCACAGTGTGATTGCAGGGCTATTAAGTGTGCTTAGGAGGTCGACTAGCCGACTATAGATAGCCGGAGAAAAGCGCCAAACGTCGTAGTAGATTTTGTAGACTATTTCTCAAATTAAGGAATAGCATTTTTCATTTGGATCCGAATGATATTACCCTAAATAGCTTTTCCATTTTACAAAAAACAGGGAAAATCAAAATTAAGAGAAGGAGCAAAGTTGGCAGCCGAGAACAATAAAGCAGTTTTGAAATTGTCTGTCCAACCAACAATTTGTTGGGCAGCACAGTGCCCAACAAATTGATGGTGGTTTTCTGTACGTAACTTTGTGTTCAAGTACTAGTCCTGTTATGTGCACTGGTAACCCTATTTGAGACCGCAGGATAACATACCGTCGCAATGTCCAGAGTTCAGGTACTGGGGCACGCTACCTTTCGATTTTACATTTGAATCTACGAATGTGAGAAAAGAGATGGTTCCACAGAAAGGGTCACTGTGCCCTTTTGGTAGAGCCTAACCAGTGCTTGAGCTTGTTGAATTGTTTTAGTAATGTCATGTGATAATGACATTCAGTGAATTTTCTCTATTCCTAGAAAAATTGGTACCCTAATGATCAGCATTGTTGGGACGACATAACTATTAGGTCGTGGCAAAAATAATGACCGTTTTCGCACCTGCTATGTTCCACTGATCATAATTCATTGAAAACTTAGGCAAATATAGTAATTTAATATATCGTTCGGAAGCACATTTTTCAAGCTATCGTACAAATTTTTTCCGTTTCTCTGCCACCATTTCTTCTACGATTTTGGGTCACCCGCGAAGATGTTGTCAAGACGCGAAATCCGACTCATCATGCTTCACGAGTACAAACTCGGCCGTAATGCTGCGGAAGCTAGGAATATCACCAACGCATGGGGCGAAGGTACTACAAATGAGCGCACCACGCGTAGGTGGTTCGACAAATTCCGAAATGGAGACTTCAACCTGGAAGATCAGGAGGGACGCGGTCGGCCATCGGAAGTTAAAGACGACGAATTGAAGGCACAGATAGAAGCCAACCCAAGAGCATCCACAAGGGAAATTGCTGAAGAGCTGGGAGTTGACTTCGGAACTGTAGCACGTCATTTGAAGAAAATTGGGAAGGTAAAAAAACTTGACAAGTGGATCCCGCATGAGTTGACTGAGCACCAGCAATCTCGTCGTCTCGAAGTCTGTTCGTCTCATCTTTTGCGGAACAAAAACGATCCTTTTCTGCAACGCATTGTGACGTGTGACGAAAAATGGATTCAATACGACAATAGACGACGGTCAGGACAGTGGTTGGATCACGACGAAGCTCCTAAACATTTCCCAAGCCGGAGTTGCCCCAAAAAATCATGGTGACTGTTTGGTGGTCTACAGCCGGTTTTGATCCACCACAGCTTCCTGGCACCAGGGGAAACCATCACAGCGGAGAAGTAATGTGAGGAAGTCGAAAAAATCTACCAAAAATTGCATCGGATTCAGCCGGCATTAACAGAAAGGGCGCGATCCTACTTTATGACAACGCCCGACCACATGTTTCATTGACAATAAAAATACTGATGGAGTTGGGATATGAAACTCTCGACCATCCTCCATACTCACCAGACCTTTCCCCTACGGATTATCACTTTTTCAAGCATCTCGAAATTTTCTTACGCGAGAAATGCTTCCGAAACCAAGACGACGTAGAAAAGGCATTTCGTCGATTCCAGAACTCCAGAATTTTATGCTGCCGGAATATCTAAACTGCCTTCTCGTTGGCAGAAATGTGTTGATTCTTTTGGTCGTTATTTCGATTGAAAAGCAACACTTTGAAGCGAGTTATGATATTTAAAATATTTGCTTCAAAACGGTCATTATTTTTGCCACGACCTAATATCTGTCTCTCAATGATTTTTGACATGAGGCTGCAACTCATTTGGTCCTTGAATATTTCAACTTTCAGCGATTACCTTCTGGTGACTATTACTGCGAGACTGGCTCGCTAATGCATGCCCTCGGGGACTTCAATAGAATGCGGACTTCAAAATTGGTGACTTTTTGAATTCTTCTCGCAAAGTCAACCAAAAGAATCCGGCGAGCTGAGTCCAACTATGCAAACCTTGGGGACACTAAGCAGAAACCGAATTACAGCAAAGCAGAATAGCTTTTTTTCCAAGAAGGGTGGGTATCGTACATACTGCTTGGGTGTGTACGTACCACTCACTCCCAAACTTTCAAACGAAAAGCGTCAGTGAGGAAATGAAATTAGAGCGAAAAGTTCCATTTGAAATCCGGAGTATGCTGCAAGGAACGTCGTGCCACCTAAAAACCACGTGTATAGTCGTGTGCGTTTCAGATGCGAAGAGAACTGCAGTACAATTCATCTACTACGCGAGCGCTGGGGAATGTACTTGCTGTTTTCCGTACGTTCTAGCGTTATCATGTGGTTGTCTGTGGTCACTGCACTCTCACTATGCACATTTTTACATTTTGACGCAGAAGCGGGATCTCCTTCGAGCACGGGTATGTCAAATAGTTCACATTTTGCAGGTGAGCGTTTGTGTATTACCGACGATGACCTCGCTGGCCGTAGCACTATTTATCATGAAGGTCGTGACATCACACAGGAAGAAGCTAGCCGAAGGTCAGCTTTTTTATTTTTTTATTTTTTATTTACTTTGCACCCAACGGACGAGCTTCAGTCAGACAAATAGAACGTGAAGCTATACGATTTGATGACGCCATTTTCCTCGAAATCATGCCCTAGAGGCAAGGCCCGCGATAAGAAGCGTCGATAGTGGTGTTGAGACGTTGAAAAGATCTTTCCAAGCAAGTCGTCTTCGGAGAGAGAATGCAAAGGGAAACTCAAAAATGCTTCCAATATATTCTATTTGGTGTAAAGCAATCGGTCGAGTATAGGGCGAAAAATCCCGTGCGTTGAGACGAATCCAGTCATCTTCTTCCTCATCATGGACCCTACAATCCCTCCCTCACCGAGAGGCAGTGAAGCTTCCATTTCATACTAGTCACCTGGTAGCATTGGTTATAACTCCACATATTCCAAGCTTCAATTATGCAGTGCGTATTTTCAGAACAAACCCTCTATCAAGCTGGTCCATCCCGTCAAGTCGTGGCGTCTCGCCTACGAACGTTCTACTTTGTATTTATGACGACTGTGTTTACTGCTGCTACATTACTTCCATTCAGAATTAGTTCCATTATAATGAGCTTCAGCGATCATCATGAGGTATGAGGGGCTTTTGAGACGCTGATTTCTTTATTTGCTCTATTGGCGAACTGGTGTTCGTCGAGTTTTGTGCAGGAAATTCGTGAGTTTCTTATGTTCCATGATTTCTAGATGCCCGCATGTAGTGGGACGCTTTCACGTTGGATAATGGCATACCTGATCAGTCTAAACGCGGTGGGTTTTCCAGATTTTACGCCCTTCCTCTTTTCATTGATTCTCCTTTAATCACGATAATGATGTGTGTCCGAGAAAAAAAGTTTGACTGCCTCGAGCTTTTATGATTATGAGTTCATTTTACCAAGAAAGTCAACTGGCACGTTCCCCTCCCAAAGCGCTTTGCCTTCACGAAGCCTCTTTCGAATATGTAAGAAGCGATACAGAAAGTATGAAGCAAAGCTTTGCTGCAACTGCAGAAAATCGCAAGTGCAGAATCATATCATGAGTCTCTTGGGAGGCAGGACGAGAGTCGGGACGATATCAGGGACATCTCAATCAGAGCACATCATCGTTGGAAAGTCGTCAAGTCAGTGTGAAGGCTAGCCGCTAGTGCACGCACTTGAAACAGAAAAAACCGAGAAAAGTCGACAATCGGAAAGACTTTCCTCGAAGACAAATATGGCCCCTCCAGCAACCACAGGGGCCAAACACCCTCCTCCACGTACGGCGTGCCCTGATGACGAAGCTAGGCGTTCGATCACGATTGCCTCATTAATTGTCCTCGTTAACTGCGGCCTGATTACATAATTACAATGCGGGTAGTTTACTACCGTCTGTGGATGACACTTTGCCCAGGGGCACAAGCGGCTTTGGGGAAAACAGGCCATGGTCACTTATCCCAGCGTGTTTTTAGTGGTGCACTAACGATGCCTACAGCCATTTCGCAGTTGTAAGAATGGGGTAAAGGTAGTGGGCACGATGGCTATGGTTCGGGTAAGGGGGGGGGTGTGAATTGCTGCCAACGTCATTAGTGGAAGGACAGCGAGAGGGCGTTTGACCACACTCGCCTTCAGCCCTTTTACCAGTGACGTTGTCAGCAACCGTCCCCCCCCCTTGCCATTTAGCAACTGCTCTTAAGAACAAAAGTGTAGGTGCTAATACTGAATATAAGTTGAGGTACCCGTGTAATCAAACATTTACGTGTTTATCGAAGATTTTTCACTCGGGAGCTTTTCTTTCTGCACAATTTTGGGGCAAAGATGTCGTTCAGTTGAATTGCTGAGGGGTTTTTTGCTCGAGCACGCATTCCTCAGCTCCTCCATCTAATCCTCCGGTTTGCTCGCGATATTCCGCTTTTACTTTCCGTGTCGCGACCCTTCAGTAATGTTGCAGTGTTAAGCCGTAAGTTACTTCCACATTCAGGGGCTTTGCAAGGATTTTGTGTTGCAATGAACTTGTCTTTTTCGGAAAGAGGAATTGAATTGTGAGGAAGAGAGTACGCTTTGTGTATCGTTACAATTTTACAGATTTTCAATCCATTGATAACGGTCACGGTATTACCACAATATCGTTGTCGTCCAATTCGTCAACTACTGAGCAATACTACAAGAAGCGAAACGAAACCAACTGATCTGTGATGAGATTACGCTGCTATCTACCATGATTTTATTGACTTGTCGCTTAACTCTTATCTCAATTATTGAATCTCAGCTCTTAAATTCTCAGCTAACGACAGCAGTTATCGAACTATTAGGTTGTCCCAAAAGTTCCGGGACACTTTTTGAATCTCGTGTCAGATTTTTCCACAGCCCATTTCGAGATCCAGTTATGTGGTCTATGGGAAGTGTGTGACCGGTAAGCATTCCAGTAGTTTCTTCACTGTTATGCTCGGCAGGTCGCTGTCTCATATGAAAAACCAGTAATTTGAAAATTCATCATTTTCGACACACTTCGCTATATGAATCGCTACCAAGCCACAACGTGGTTGGAGCCATAAGCGGCATTTCCCTTATTTAGATCTTGATGTTAGCTTCCACAGTACGGCTTTGGAATGGCTCAATTGCTTCCGCTTTAGTGACTTCTATCCGGGTGAAAAACTTCGGTCCAAGGCCAAGCCACCTGCCTTTTTTTGTATTGGACCTACTTGATGTTTCCCTTGGATTTAACCAACCCATCCGTACGAATCAACTTGCTACCTAGTCCTTACACTTGACTGGTCCCAAAGCACAAATGAGAGAAGGCCTCGCTCCCTTAGAAAAGTTCTGAAGTTCGGTCAAAATTTTTCTCATCAGTTGACCAGTACTCCAAGGGGAGCACATGTGGGTACTGTCTACAACTTCTTTCCCGCTTCCGCTTATGCGGGCTTGCTTGAACAGACTGTAACTGGATTATAGCAGTGGGTGCCTCTAGTATGAATAACTCCTGGGCAATATACTATCTCTCGCAATCACCTATAAATCAAGTTAGGCGGTGACGGCCGATGTTATGTGCGTGTACGGTTAACCTTTCCTCCGCTCTCAAAAACGCGACATCTCCCTCCTTCCTAACGCTATTGGTTAACCAGGCGCGCGCCCTATGTAATCAACTCGCCAAAGTGGCTGTGGAAAATCTCTACCATTTGGTCCCAGGAACGAGCAGTTTGCCTACCTCCACCACCCTCAGGCGTCAAACATTTGCGGTAAAACGACAGCTGCCCTCGAGATCCGAAAGCTGTAGGCTGTGGGAATTCCACCACAGTCTGTATCGCCTGACTTTAGCCTCTTTCCGATCGCCATCTAAACTAATCCCACAGCGGCCATCTTCTTGGTAAAAAAATACGATTTTTGATAGTACCTCAAAAATGACCCAGCTGCCTTTCTGGCCACAGAACTAAGAGGCTTCTGGAAGCAGGGCAACACACATTGCGTAGTGATTGGCAACAAGTTGCCAATGAAGGTGACATATATATAGCTGATCAAAATTGCTTCCCACTGGAATAAACTTAATTCGAAAAAAAGTTTGAAAGTGTCCCAGAACTTTTGGGACACAACCTAATAGACCCATAAATGACATAACATGTGCCAAATCATCATTTTCCGGTCAAGTTTGCATAGAACAGAAAGTGTTGTCTGCACTCACAATCGGTGAGTGCTTGTGCCAAAACTTGCCGTTATGCTGATTTCTTTTGAAATATGAGTTGTCGAATGTAAAAATGATAAAATGTTCTTAGGACTTGTACTCATACAAATTGATTCGCTACAGATGAGCCATATCATCGCCATCGCTCTATGACCGTCCTATCACCTAAGAACTAGCTCGTATGGGATATCCATTCCACTTGTACTTAATACACGCTACAGCGCGGGTGGGCAATCGTGGTATCGTGGGGTAAGAACCATGTAAGTGCGTGCACCCTTGTGAATTTGCATACACTCCGCTATGCTGCACAACATTCTACCACCTTGCCGAAATCTTCCAACTCTACCAGTTCCAGAAACTTTGTCAAGAACAACTAGTTTTTGATTCAAAAACCGGTCTCGGACTGGAGCGAAAAAAAGGCTCCCTCCAACCAACTATTAGTTGTCAGCTAACGGAAATAGTATTAGGTTGGCGCGATGAATAGTCTCTTCGTCAACTTAGTTTTTGAACTCAAATTACTTGCTCAGTTAGCAAGGGGTTAACCGGTGAATGTGAGCTCTGTGCTACGACACACGCGCGAGTGCATCTCTCTGTTAGTACACTCGCTTGCCTCTTGCTCCTTCTTCTGCAATATGCACAAGGATTTTATCCGCTACCATCAGCCCCGACCCATCCAACAACTTCCACAAACTATTTCACCTACCACCCCCTGACGCCAGCGTGTTTAGCTGCCAGCATGGCAAATTGATGGAGCCTGGAATAAGCACGGTGCCCCCAAACCCAATCGAGCAACCTTACCACGCACAGTCACTCTTCAAGGGCGCGAGCCTAGAACCTTACCAGTTTTTGATGACGAATGCAGGTTTGGGGTTACTTTGCAAACTCTAGCTTGAGATAAGTATTGGTCGGGTGAAACTGCTTGATGAATGAAGCCGCTCCTTTGGCCTCAAGGCGTAACCGCGAAGTTCCAGCGCTACGAGATCTAAGGGTATCGGGCATCAGAGGCGAAAAAAGTTTGTCCGCCACGTGCCCTCATCAATATGAGCAGAGTGCAACGCCCTTGGCTTGCAAACAAAAGCCAACGTGTTCGCAGCCCGTACCTTCATGCCAATTGCGAGCTTGATCTTATCTCTCCCCTTGCAATTGTGTAGCACAGACATCGCCCCTTCTAATAGCAAGTTGCCTTCCGTAATCGATCGTTATGCGGACGAGAAAACCTCCATAACCCAAGTTCAAGTCGAAGTTGAGATGGTGTCCAACTTTGCGTCGTGTCTCCCTGCATAGTGAAGCGATGGCATCCATGAAGTGCTCAAACACAGTGGCAAGGACCCCGCAGTTAACATTGCTGTACAATTTTGATCTTACACTCCTCTCTATAAAAAGAAAGCCTAGTTTGAAAAATGTGACAGAACTTTTCCGCCAACCTAAATAGTTATATAGTCGTTTTGCGGTGCCTTCAACTAGCACGCGGCGGGGGGTATAGCGCAGGTAAAATGGAAAAAAAATTAACAACCGGAAGAAATTTCCACTGATGCGCTGGAAATGGCTCTCCCCTCTTCGCTTGACCTCGGCACTCTGAGGAAGCTGCTGATACAGCCTTAGGCAAATTCAGCTTGCCGCACGTTAGCACAAGTCTGGGGAGGTTGCCTCCAGCTGTCTGACCCCGCCCCCCCGAAGCTGTGCATGAGAGCAAAGCGTAGTCGCAACGACTAATTGACGGTTTACAGCTTGCCGATTGTTTCCTGTCTTTGTTCCTTGTATCATACCCATATTAGCATGGAGGCTGTTTTTGCTGTGGTCTCGGTCGATGAGAAGGTATTTGAAGTAATTGTTGCTCTACAAAAAATCCGCTTGTTCTTAGGAATTATCTTAATTTTAAGCACTGGCTGCGACCCAAAAAATGCCATTTGAGTCCAGCTATGCTACATACAGTCCTCTTCATTGCAGGCCGGTGGGACGGCTGAGCCCGCGCTGCGCGTGACGCGGCTGTCGCGGCACACCCCCGCCCACGGTCTGCAATGGAGAGCCGACTGTATGTATTATCAGGCAACCAATAAAGTTCGTGCGGTTTTTTTTGTCTACTTTTATGAAGTATATTCAGTAAACTGGATCTAGTGGTAGGGTAACTTTGAATACATGTTAAGACATATGTCAAGGAGTGTCATTCAGTGTATTTGTTAATTTAGATTACTTTCAATTAAGGCGAACAGAAAAGGTGTGGTTTTCCACCAGGACAATGCAAGACCCACACTGCAAGAAACCACTCAGGAAACAATAGCGCGACTAGGATGGGAAATTCTACCTCACCCTCCGTACTCGCCAGACCTTGCTCCAAGTGACTATCATTTTTTTGGCCTTGGACAACCACATGAGGAATCGGCGATTTGAAAATGAAGTGGCTTTGGACAACGAACTAAAACATTTCTTAATTCCCAAAAGCAAGATACAAAAATGGAATATATGCTCTTGTGTCTAAATGGGAAAGTGTATTACTTGCTGAGGGTAATTATTTTTCGGAATAAATCCAAGTTTAACCCGTTTTTTATGTTATTATTTCGCTACCTTCAAAACCTGCACGAACTTTTTTGAATGCCTGATACGTCCCGCTCTCCACCAAGTGTATCTGCGTCGTGGAAATACAGTTCACTCTGCCTCAAGTTGGGGTGGTTCAAGCTATGTGAAGATAGAATCACTCTTTCAGCTGTGAAATTTCCCTTGTCTCCTTTGTCGGATCGCAGACAACCTTAACATCATTGGTAATCATGGTAGAAACCATCTGTAATTTTGGAAGTTCTTAACGCTACACTTAGTCTTTTCAAACTTACTGGTCGCGAATGCGTGAAAAAAGGTGAAAATTCATCAATTAAAAAACCAACCAAAAAATTCGAATATTAATTGGAACAAAATTTCACTCTTTTCACAAATAATTACATAATTCAAAATACATTCCCATAATGTGTTTCCTAGTAACGAAAAAAAAACAAACAAATCACTCATTGAAAAACGCCTTCCAGATAAATTTAAACAGTCCTCATGTTCATAAAAAGTACGAGATCAAGAGAAAAAGAGCAATCGCGATCGAAGAGCCGTTGTCAAGGTGGCTTCGAGAGTGAGTCTGCGATCGGGAAACGATCAAATCAAATACCAGGTTTTCAATATCGATGGCTAGTTGGACGTCTCGTGCCAGCTGCGAGCAAGACTTATTGTTTCAATACCATCTCCAGATTTTAGTGAGCAATGTGGCAAGTGTGTCTTATGCCCATAATGAATGAGAAACTCCATCACAATCGGATCGAAATTGTCGTGATCGAAGATAATGATAGCAACGGGTCGCCACCCACGTTGCCTGGGCACATACAAGAATGCCGAGATATATTGAAACAACCATCAGGATTTGATCTGAAAAATAAGGGAGCTGGTCCGATATGACCCTATGCACATTTGAAATGATGTCATTCATAACTCTACAGTTACGCACATGTAACATTGCAATCAGTCAGTGAGCGGTGCGAGGAGAAGC